ACTCTAATTCAAGCAGAATAACTTATTGTCAACATAATTATGGAGTGTGATTTATTTTCAACTCAAAATATCTTCAAACTAATGAAATATAAAGTTATTAATAAAGAAAACCCATCTGGATAACAGCAGACTGACTTCACGTAAAATATATAATAGGTCTGGACCACTCGTAAATTTTGTTAGTATCTGAAAAAAATCGTAGAATACGAAAACATTGGTGAATGCCACAAATTCTCCTAAATCACTCGTACACACAATTTAAGAACAAATCTGTGCGTACGAACGGTTCTTGCATGAGGCCCATTGTTCTGACCAACCTAAAATATTGTTATTTCTCCAGTCGAGGTGGGGATTGTGTTTTCTGAGCCAAGTGGCTCCCAAAACAACTGGTAGTTCGGGGGAACTGATGGTGAGAAATTTAATCAATTCAGAGTGGTTTCCTCCTATGGTTAGTTGAACCTCTTGAGTCTGCATACAGTTCTGGTTAAGTGTATGTCCATCAAGAGCCAAAACATTGCGGGGCTTAGGAGTGGGCTGCATCTGGATTCCCAAGGAGAGAGCAAAATTAATATCCATGAACTCTGTATCGGCGCCAGAGTCAATAAAAGGTTTRATTAAAGTCTCTTTACCGTTAGCTTGAAGTGTAGCGTGGACCTGGGGGAGTCGTGGTTCCTTAGATGTTGCCATGGTTCTGAAGTTTGTCCTCTTCTAACCTGTGGTCTCTTATGAGGGCAGTTAGAAACTTGATGGTCAGGATTACCACAGTAGAAGCACAGACCCTCTTGGCTTCTTCTGTTACGCTCTCTTAGGGATAATTTGGTCCGACCCATCTGCATGGGTTCCTCATGGGCTTGGAGCGATTGTGGGACAGGGCTAGGAGCAGTAGAGGGTTGCAAAAAACGGGGAAAAAAATCAGTTGGTTTAGAGTGATTTTGTCTCACCTCTCTACGTCGTTCACTGAGTCTGAGGTCAATACGTGTGGCCAAATACTCCAGAGCCTTTAAAGAACATGGTGGTTCACGAGTAGCCAGCTCATCCTTAATGTCGTCATTTAGGGCCTGCCAAAACACATCCTGCAATGCCGCCTCATTCCAATTACTGTCAGCAGCCATGGTATGGAAATCAATAATTAAGTCTGTGACACTTCTATGACCTTGTTTTAGCGTGAGTAAGCATCTGATGGCCTCCTTGTGGGGGAGTAWAGGACTGAAAACTCTGGTAAGTTCATAGGCAAAATCTTTGAACTTGTAGCAAAATAAAGAGTCTCTCTGCCACTCAGCAGTGCCCCATAACTTAGCCCGACCAGATAAAAGAGAAACAACATACGCCACCTTAGACCTCTCAGAAGGAAATGCTGATGGTTGTAACTTAAATTGAATCTCGCATTGAGTTAAAAAAGGCCGGCACTGGCTGGGCTCTCCAGAAAAAACCTCAGGAGGAGTGAGCCTGGGTTCAGACATGACAACTGGTGATGACAGGACAGAGACAGCAGATGGTGCCAGAGGATAATTCCTGGAAACAAGACAGGGTGAACCAGCGGAACCAAACACAAGTTTACTTGGTTTTACAGGGGGCAAGAGCTGCTTCTCTGGTGCCGGTGTGAAACTCTTTGTGGCCAGATTTACTGTAATGATGGGGTTTGTGAGTTTCACTGAATGCTCAGACACCAGAGACGATTTAAGGATTTTATTAAATCTGGAGCAGCAGGATCGGGACCGACACGTCACCGGGACACGGAGGTCTAAACAAAAAATGACCAGGTTAGTGACTAACAAAGACAGTGGCAGAGCTTTGGAGCAGTAAATAGTCACTAACCTTTTTAGTACCAGTGTTTTGGAAGCCGAAACTTTGAAAGACTTTGAGAGTCTCAGGHGAYGGTGGTTCCTGGCACTTCCGTGTTTGGCGCTGCGGCGTGGTACGCAGGCTTGAGGAGAATCCGTGAGACAGGCGAGGGTCAAAAACATGTGGTCAGAGAGCGGCGACAGGTTAAGGGGATCAGACTTAACTCTTGGTTGTGGTACACAGGCGGGGGTCGAGATCCGGGGGTCCGATGGCTGGGCAAATCCAATAGGGGCTGAGGCGAAAGGGAGGAATCCAAAAACGAGAGCGAGGGTCAAAACCAGAGAGACAGAATCCGGGACGGTGGCAGACAGGGGCGAGGCAGGAGACGTGGAACCAGAGGACATAAACAAGGTCGTAACGTGGCAGGCAAGACAAGACATGGGATCGCTGGAAAAACTACTAGGTAAACCGTTCATAAATCTGGCGCTGGACTGG